ATTTAACAATAAGAAGATATACACAAATATTAACTTTTCTAATAATAATAAGGAAATATATTTAACTCGATCTCGTAATCCCGAGATCTCTCATCAACCGTCGATCTCTCGATCTACGCTTCTCTTTCTCCCAATACCCCCGGCAAGCTCATACGTGGTAACACGTGTGAGATTGGACAAATCTTCAAAATAACGGCTTTATACCCGACCGTCGGGTCATCATCGACGTTTATACCCGGTCGTAGGGTCAAATCGACGTTTATACCCGATCGTAGAGTTCAAAGCGGCTACAATACCCAGCCGTTAGGTCATCGACGTTTATACCCGGTCGTAGGGTCATCAACGGTGGAAAATACATCTTTTGTAGTTGTGTATCTCCATCGATTTAAAATCACAAGTCTTGGTCACTCTTCGAACTTCTTGTTCATGAAGAAACTTGTGTCAGATTTGAATTCGTCACCGCCGGATCAGCATCGTATCCATTGGAGTCATAGTCATCAACTCCACAGCATCGTTGGAGTAGTTTCATCACCACCACCATAAGCAATCATCGGAGGTGTTCATCAATACGGCATCACCGTACATAATCACGTGGGTTAAGATATATTTTTCACCAAGGAACTAGCAGGTATGCTAGTCAAAACAAAAAAAACATCAAAACCAACAACGTAACATTCTCACGTCGTCTCCCTTTCTTTCTTTTTTTTTCTTTTTTTTTTTTGAAAGCAACGAAAGTAAAAAAATAAAATAGAAAATCAATGGAGGTAACGTAATAGAAAATCAATGGAGCTAACGTAAATCAACGAAAACAGAATTTTTTTTTTTTTTTTTTTTAAATCGCGGAAGCTAACGTACAGAACCATAATCCACATGAATAGGATCAAGGCTCTAATACCATGATAAATTTTGGAGGAAACCTTAGTAGTAGAATAGTTTCTCTCAATTTGATTCATTAGTCAATAGGCTTATTTATACAAGGATCATAACTTGATTAACAAGTTCTTTACATATATGATGATAGGAAATTTACTTGTTTAATAATAAGAATATATTATATAAATGTTAACTTTCCTTTCAAGTCGATCTCGTAATCCCCGAGATCTCCTAACACCCTCCTGCAAGCTCATACGTGGTAACACGTATGAGCTTGGACAATCATCTTCACGGTCTTCATACCCACTATAGGGTCATCAATAGCGTTTATACCTCGCCATAAGGTCATCAATTCAATGGAGGATACTTTAGTAGTTGTGTATCTCCATCGATTTTAGATCACAAGTCTTGGTCGCTCTTCGAACTTCTTGTTCATGAAGAAACTTGTGTAGTAGTCATGATCGAATTCGAATTCGTCACCGCCGAATCAGCATCGTATCCGTCAGAATCATCGTCGTGGCTTCCATCTTTTTCGTAGTTAGACGAAAACCACATGAAAACCGGTTAAAAACCAAACATAACCATATGGTTTTGTTGGTCATCATCCTTACCAAAGTAAATCGTTTGTTTATATCATCTTTTGTAGTGTGTGATATGAACAACGTCTTCTTCTTCAAATAACTAGCAAGTTTTGCTAATTAATAAGAAATCAATCGAGGTCATTAACTGACCCAATTCAACAACGTAATTCACCGATACGATGAACACGTCTCTCTTCTCTTCTTCTTTTTTTGTTTTTTTAACAAAAGCAAAGCACACAAATCATCTTCGTCAAAACTGCATTGATTGTCCATGTCACCTTTTTTAGTCACGGTGAGATCAACAAATCAATAACAAATCTTTGAAATCGATTTTTTTTTTTTTTTTAAACGCGGAAGCTAACGTAACAGAACCATAATCCACATGAATAGGATCAAGGCTCTGATACCATGATAAATTTGGAGGAAACCTTAGTAGTAGAATAGTTTCTCTCAATTTGATTCATTAGTCAATAGACTTATTTATACAAGGATCATAACTTGATTAGCAAGTTCTTTACATTTATGATAATAGTAAATCTATCTATTTAACAATAAGAAGATATACACAAATGTTAACTTTTCTAATAATAATAAGGAAATATATTTAAATCGATCTCGTAATCCCGAGATCTCTCATCAACCGTCGATCTCTCGATCTACGTTTCTCTTTCTCCCAATATGTCTTTCTTTTTTCGACAAAACAAAAGAAAGAAAACATGTTGCCTATGTACGGACAAGACATCCTCATCCACACGACTCGGACGCCGAAGCAGCCAATAAAATGCAAAATTCTTTTAATTCTAAATATACAGGTGTAATTTGTGTCTTACACGTTACGGGTCCAATTGCTTTTTTTATATTAGAATGTTTTAGTGTTTGTTTTACTTTTTAATCTTGTGTGTGTTTTTTTAAGTATTAGGAGATTCTGGACCAAAGCCGTAATCCTCCCATGTTCGAAACATCATGTATAATTAGGTGTGTTTACCTGTTTCTACAACTAGAGTTTAAAAAGTCCGATTTAGGAAACACATTTATAAGAAAATAATTATTCTGGTCCAAGGAAAAAATGAAAATCCACCTTTTGTAGTCAACACACGTGACACGTGCGCATAATCAAAGTCAAAGATATTCTCCAACATTGCCTTGCCTGTGAGCCCTTTACGACCTATAGTTTTCTCTTTATTTAATTGAAACTTAAATTTTTGGTAAGAAATTTTCATTTCTGTAATATTAACCAAACCGGAAAAAAATCCATAAGAAATACGATCTAAAGACTTATTAAATTATACTTTAGGTGTTGTTCAAAGATAAGTGCAGAAATAACAAAATAATCTATCAAGCCCTTTAACAAAAAAAACAAAACAAAATAATCTATCACCATCGTTTCAATTATTGTATGTACTATGTAGCCCTTGAGCAAAAACCTCGAACCAAAACGATATTACTAAATTGGTAGGAACTCAGCTTTTCCAAATTACCTAATCGGGTAGTTTCAAAATAGTAACTTGGTTTCCAATTATGTTCGAATTTTAAACCGAAAAACTGAATTATCCGAGACTCCGAGTTTTGCTAACAAATCCTAAATATGAATTATAAGGGTTTAGTTTATTGTTCTATTTTCATTTGGCCACCAAATCCAAGAGCGAAATATACATCTGGAGAACTTTTTTTGTGTGAATTTTCAGCGATTCTGACCCGAGCTTATGTTATTTTCTCCAACCTGTCCCGGCAATAGTCCGAAATATATACATGTGGTTGTAAACAATTTGTATATACCCAATATACTTGTATGTATTATTGTAAATAATTACTTACAAAATAAACCAAATGTGGTTACCTGTAAACATGACCACGAATCCAGAAGCTTAGAATTTCTTTGAATTTAAATAGGATCTAAAAGATGAATTTTCAACTGCCTATGAAAAAATTAAGATCTCAATGGAGTTATATTCTCGAGGGCCGAATATTAGGTTTCTAATTAGGACCCACATTTGTTTCCCTGCCTATAAATTTCCCGTCAAACACATGCAACAGAAAAACACATAAAAACGTTTATGAGATAACACAAAGCGCAAGAACAATCCTTGTTGATTGTTCAACATTTTCAAGCCTATACACACACCGACACACGAAAAAACACGTATATACATAAACACATACATCTATGGATCAAGGAGGTAGTGGTGGCGGAGCCGAGCATGGAAAGTACCGGGGAGTTCGGAGACGGCCTTGGGGAAAATATGCAGCGGAGATACGAGATTCGAGGAAGCACGGTGAACGTGTGTGGCTTGGAACGTTCGATACAGCGGAAGAAGCGGCTAGAGCCTATGACCAAGCAGCCTACTCCATGAGAGGCCAGTCCGCAATTCTAAACTTCCCTCATGAGTATAACATGGGGAGTACTGGCGGCTCTTCTTCCACCGCTATGGCTGGATCCTCCTCCTCCTCTGCCTCCGCTTCTTCTTCTTCTAGGGAAGTTTTTGAATTTGAGTATTTGGATGATAGTGTTTTGGAGGAGCTCCTTGAGGAAGAAGAGAAGCCTAAGAAGGGCAAGAAGAAGTGAGTGATACATGATCATTTCTAACGAAAGTGACAAAGTATAAGAAATAATTAGTATGTATGAAAAGAAATTATATATTGCAGTGATCTTATGATCATGATTCGAGCACGAATCTATTTTTGGAATGAAATCGACCGATTGATGGTCTTAGTTATTTTTCGAAACTACATATTTGATAATAGTGAGATTATCTGAGAGCATCCTTTGATATGTCATTAGATCATGATGATTAATAAAAAATATAGCATATGCAGTTACTATTCCTTTTAGTGACATATTTTACGTTTCGAGTCTTATTGATCTGTATAATAAAGCAATAAGAGTTTTTAGCTGGTAATTTAAAAAGAGGTAACGGTAGAAAGAAATGACGGTACTGCTTCCAATACTAATTCTTATCATTTTTCTGCTTGACAGCTACTAAAATTTTATATTTACCACTCAAACGATTCATTTTTTTCACATATTTGTAAAATAATTAGAAATACAACTGGGGATGTGTCTTTATTCAAGTGGTTAAGTCCA